GTAGTATGTCCCATACTCAGTCACGAAAGCGATTTTCTCTTGGTCGTTGGGGTTCATTCTGATCTTGTTATATCCAAAAAAAGCATCCATAAAGCTGAGGAGTTAATGACCAACAGTGGCATCTAAGATCAGGTCAATCTGATGTAAAGAGAAGTTTTCTTTGGGGCAAGCGCAGTTTAGGTCAATGTAGAGGCCCCATTTGCCATTTGACTTCTTAAAGAGGACCACGTTGGCTAATCAGGTTAGATAGTCCACCTCTCTAATGACTTTGATGTGGAGAAGTTTGCTAATCTCCTCATTAATTGTTTTTTGGTATTTTGGGGCAAAACTCATCCGCTTCTATTTGATGGGCTTGAAGGTTGGATTTACGCTGAGCTAGTGCGTGATGACTGAGGGATCAATCCCCTACATATCCTCTTATTTCCATTCAAAAACCTCCATATTCTTTCTAAGAAATTGATTAAGGAAATTTTTAACTTCCCTGGGTAGCTTCAATGCCACGTATATCAGATGTTATAGCTCCTCGTCAAGTTGCATAGGCTCCAGCTCTTATGAGGGCATTGGCGTCATTTCTAACTCATCTCTCATATCAAGCTCATCTAACTGGATATTCTCGACCTCTTTCTTCTTCATAGATGCCATATAGCACTCTCGTGTCACACGTTAGTCTCCTCGGAGCACTTTAACGTCATTTTCTATAGGGAACTTCATGACAAGGTGGTAGGTAGAATGGATGACCCTTATGGCGTTAAGGGAAGGTCTCCCCGACAGAACATTGTATGTTGAGGGAGCATCGACTTCCAAGAACCTCACAGTTGTGGTGGACTAACAAGGTGGATCTCCTATGGTGAGAACAAGCTGGATTGAACCTAGGGGGTAGCACCCTTTCCCTTGAGAATCCTAGAAGGTGAGCCTTTACTGGTTCAAATTTGTCTCTACCTATGTTCATTTTGTCAAAGACAGATGCGAAGATGATATCGACAGAGCTCCCATTATCAATCAGAGCTCGATGGACTGTTCTATTGGCAATGATGACCCTTACCACCAAAGGGTTATCATGGTAACTTTCTAGATCTGTATCCGAAAAAGTGATGTTCATGCTCAATCGAGGTGCTTTAGACACAACTTGTACTTCCAGCACCTCCTTAATTCTAACTTTGCGCATGTAAGCCTTCCTGGATGAGTTGGATTCCCCTCCTCCAGCTAATTCTTTGAATATCACTTTGATCTCTCCCAGAGGTTGCTAATCTTGTGCAGGGATTTGCTACTGAGGTGCTAGGGGTGGGTGACAAGAATGCAAAATATCATATTTTTTTCTTTTAATATTTAGTATTTTATACTTATTTGGAGCCTAAATATACTCATTATTCTTATATTTTAATTTAGAATGCAAATGGAGACGTTAAATGCAAAACGAAGTTAATTGGACGATTGTGGACAGTTTCGACATTGCTTCATAATCTGGGCATAACTCTCTCATCCGAGCTCCGATTGAGATGATTCAAGATGCTATGAAATGCCAAAGAAAAGATATACAACTTTAATGTTTTGAGTTTTGAGAGATATTGAATGCATCAAGAGAAATATTAAAGGCAAAAGAATAGATATGAAGTATTATTATGTAATTTTTAGCTTTTACGTAGTTCGATTTATAGAGCTTCAATTGAGGTTTGGATAACGTTAGAGTTTTAGACTGAGAAAGTATTCTAGCTTTTCAGAAATGTATGGTTTGCAAAAATCCGAGTTCATTTGGGCCTCCAAACATTGTTTCAAAGTCAGGCCTGGAAAGCTGATCAGAATCCTGATTGGAGTTGGATTCTTTTCTGAACCAGTAAACTTCAGTGGGTCATAACTTGAGTTTATGAAATCCAAATCAGGTGATTCAAAAGCCTAAATTTATCTACACATTCAGGGCTACAACTTTCATGAAGAGACCAAATCAAGATTCATTCGTTATCTGATAGAAAAATAGATCACAATTTCCAACACAATTTCTGTCAATCTGTTTTGATAATGAATACCTATAATATAGGGATTTGAGTTGTACACGTTTTGGGAGTGTTATATATTTTCTATATTTATTTAAGGAGAGAGAAAGAAAGAAAAATGAGCATAATATAGAGGCTGCTATACCCCTCTTCTCTAACTCTTTCTTCTAGTTTTTATGAAGGCCATGTGTGGCTATACTATAATACTTGATCTAAGGTGAAAGTAGCCTCGGAATCAATAAAACTGTGAGATCTACTTTATTTTTTATAGTTCAATTTATGTTTTGCATATTGGATGTTTTGTTGTACCTATTTTTATGATTGCATCGTTTAATTACTAGGAGGTCTACTAGTTTATTATTCGTTGTAATCTACTGCTGGGTTAGATATCAAATCCGTAATTATTTGTTCCCTCTAATTTGTGAAGCAACTAAGATTTAATGATTTGCTGCATCAGAGATTATTAGATCTTAGAAAGAACATTCGACTAAATTAAATGCATCCGCTTGTGCTTGTGTTGTTTAGTTTCATCGATCTTTTTAATTCTTAATGATACTACTAGATTAAACTTTTAGTACTTGTCTTGGGTTGTTTAGTAGTTAAGGTTAATTAGATCGCTTGTTTTCTAATTAATTGCGACTAAGGAAAGATAGGAAGATAGTTCCAATGGTGAATATTCAGATAGTGAATTGATATATATTTGCATCGATGATCAGTTGTAAATTAAATTCCGATGGTGAATGTTGACTTAGATTAATGTTTGTTCTCTTGATTGATTTCGATACTTTAATTTGAATTGTTCTTTGGTTGCTTTTCTTAAAATTATTTTTGTTAAACTCAAACCCCCTTCCATCCTTGTTCACGAGGCATAAAACAAGGCTAGATACTCTCTGTGGGAATGATCCTTACTCGCACTACTACATTTATTTTTAGAAGTATATGTTTTATTTTTGGTTGCCTGTGATAGCACACTAGTGGGTGAGGTCGATTTTGATTATCTTGTGCCACAAAGCAGCGCAGTTGCCCCCGTTGAATTAGAAACTCATCTTTTTCTTCAATTAGATGCAATCATCAATGAGATGACCATGGTCTCTATAACACTCACAGTATTTTGTTGCATCTCTTTTTGTGGGATTTGTCTTCATTCCAGGTGCTAACCTCAAGAACTTCTTGTTTTGCACCTCGTAGCGGACCTGAGACACCGTGGCAGTGAGGGAAGTGGATTGCCGAGGTGCAAACCTTAGCTATAACTCCTGTGGTGGAGGACCTAAGCGGTCCCTTATGTCTCCTCTCATTTTCAAAGAGCGTTCCTTGTCTCTCTGTGGAGATTTGTCTTGACTTCTTTCCTTTCTGGGACTTCGATCCCTTTTCTTCTACTTCTCTTTGTGAGTGGACAAACTCTCTACCTCAGAAAGGAGCGTTTCCTCGCCGTTGATGTACTTCTCTGCCTTGACAAGGATTTCTACCATATTGGCTTGTGAGTTTTTTGAGATGGAGAACATCAAGTCCTTTGATTGGATTCCCAGCCTAACAATAAAGGCAGTGATGTCAAATTTCTCGTCAGGTACGTCTACTTTTAGAGATTTTGAGTTGAACCTTTGAACATAGCTCCGTAGGTTCTCATTTGGGTCCCTATTTCACGTTCAATAGGTGGTAACTCGACTTTCGATAAATTTGAACTCCTATGAAGTGCGAGACAAAGGAGACAGAGTGCTCTCTAAAGGATGAGATGGATGCCGGGATTAGCCTGTTGAACCATGCTAAGCTGAACCTTTTAGAGTGATGACGAAAGCTCGACATCGCACTGGATCCTGGTACCCATATAATTTTATTTGATTCTTATAAGTGTTGAGGTGATTTATGAGATCTTTCGTCCCATCAAAGGCCTCCATCTAGGGCATTCTGAATTTTGGTGGAAGTGAAAAATGTAACACTTGTGCAGTAAATGGAGATTCGATCTGCTGAACTAAGGCATCCATGGTCGCTGGAGTTTTGCCTTTTACAACCTCTTTCATATGACTGAACTTCTATTGGATGTCCCTGAAGCGTTGCTCCCAATATTGTTCTTTCCCTTCCTGCTGAAATAGGAGAAATTCATTCTTATGAGTTTCTATGTTCTGACTTTGTAACTCCTCGTTGTCCTCGTTGTTAGGCAAGGGATTCACCATGGGAGGATTGATTTCATGTGTAGGCAATAAATCACGGGGATTTTCTTGTTGTCTTCCGGTGGTAGCTTCTTGCTAGTTGTGTAATCGAAGATGATTCATTTGACTTCTGCTCATGTTACGTTTAGAAACTATCAATTACTGAAGAAAAATCAGTATATTTTTAATAGGAATAGTCGTTCCTACAGACGGTACCAACTCATAATGTTCTTGACGTGATTGAACAGTGGTGTGAATATTATGTGCATTGAACAGTTAATTTTAGTTCCGTCTGAATTTCAAAGTTCTAGAGAATAGGATCTGGGAAAAAGTGAAGGATAAGACAATATGTTTATAGTGGTTTCTTAACTTGGAAACTTGGTTAATCATCTTTTAAGGAGTCTCTTGTTCCTGAATATATATATTGATTATTGAAAGTTTATAGAAAGTATTTTTGTAAAACTACAGTGAATTGTCCTTTGTTTCAAGGGTTTTGCCACCTCCTTGTAGTTATCCCTAGTTCTAGCTTGATCAGATGCTTCGATTTTTACCCCACTCTTGTAATGGTGGTCTTTATTGCGGCTGCAGTGAATATATTAGGGCGGTTATGAGATTTGCGCATGCGGAGTAATTATTGCTATAATGGGAGTACTTTGTGGGATCCAACTGTCCTCTATATCACCTTCCTTGAGATGTAGATACGTGGTGTTTGAGGTCTGAGTCCAAGTCCGCAAATAATGTAGAGGAGCTAAGCTCCCGACTCAAATGTCATGACCTGCGCAACAACTAGTAATGTAAAGGCAGGATGGTTCTAATTCAGTTACAAATTGTACTCAAGCTCCTCGCTTCGGTCAACTAACAAAAGGCGATGTCATGTGCAACCGCAAGGCGTGTCATTAGCAACAACAGAAGTTGCATCAAAGACCCTTACGATTACCTGCAACTTCTTGAAGCTTGCAGAGCCTCGGAATCGCTCAAACATAGCAAGACAGTTCACCAACATCTCATCAAGAATGACAATAGCTACAAAAATAGTCCCATTATACTAGGCGAACTAACTCTTTTATACATTACATGCAGCGAACTACGACTCGCTCGCCGAGTCTTCAATACAATTCCAAACCCAGAAAAGAAAAGCAAAGTCATATTATGGAACCAAATGATCAGAGCTTATGCATGGGACGGACCCTTCGAAGAAGCCATCGAGTTGTACTTCGAGATGGTGGAGCTCGGAATGACACCCACCAAACATACATACCCATTTGTGCTCAAAGCCTGTGCGGGTTTACAGGATAAAGAAAATTGTATGAAAATTCATGAGCATGTTAAAAGAGCTGGGCTCGAGTTCGATGTATATATATGCACTGCTTTGATTGATTCTTATGTTAAATGCGGGTGTTTAGTTGAGGCACGAAAGATGTTTGATAATATGTCTAACAGAGATGTTGTGGCGTGGAATGCGATGATTTCAGGATTTTCTCTTCATGGGTTGTATGGTGAGATGATAGAGTTGGTTGTGGAGATGCAAGAAATGGGGTTGAGTCCAAATTCTTCGACAATTGTGGCAGTTCTTCCTACGATTGGTGAAGCCAAGGCGTTAACCCAGGGGAAGGCTGTGCATGGGTATTGTGTGAGGAGGAGTTTTCATAGTGCTTTAATGGTTCGAACGGGGCTTCTGGATATGTATGGCAAATGTAGCCGGCTACTTTATGCGAGGAGGATTTTTGATGTAATGGGTGTCAAGAATGAGGTAACATGGAGTGCTATGATTGGAGCATGCATTACGTGTGATTCTACTACGGATGCATTGAGATTATATAACCAAATGTTTGTTGAGGACAGTGTGAGTCCTTCCTCGGTTACAATTGGAACTGTTCTTCGTGCGTGTGCTAAGCTGACTGATTTAAACATAGGAAGACAGATCCATGGTTACATAACTAAATCAGGGTCTGTTTTGGATGTAATGGTTGGTAATTCACTTCTTTCAATGTATTCAAAGTGTGGAGTTATAGATGACACAATGAAGGTCTTTGATGAAATGGCTTCAAAAGATACTGTTTCCTATAGTGCTATCATATCAGGGTATGTGCAGAATGGTAATGCAGAAGAGGCTTTGCAAGTTTTCCAGAAGATGCAGTTCTCTGGGATCAACCCAGATTCTGCAACGTTGATAGGATTCCTGCCAGCTTGTTCCCAGCTGTCTGCCCTACAACATGGAGCTTGTGGCCACAGTTATTCGATTGTATGTGGATTTACAACAGATATTTCAATTTGTAATGCTCTTATTGATATGTATGCTAAGTGTGGTAAGATTGATGTTGCTAGACTAGTTTTTGATAGGATGCATAAGAAAGATATTGTCTCGTGGAATGCTATGATTGTTGGCTATGCAATTCATGGGCTCGGGATGCAAGCGTTGACCTTGTTTCATGATATGCAGAATTTAGGCTTAAGGCCGGATGATGTAACCTTCATTGGTCTCTTATCTGCTTGCAGCCATTCAGGACTTGTTAATGAAGGGAAGCACTGGTATATCTCCATGAGTCAAGATTTCAACATTGTCCCAAGGATGGAACACTACTTGTGCATGACGGATCTTTTGGGGCGTGCTGGACTTCTGGATGAGGCCCACATTTTCATCCAAGGCATGCCATTTGAATCTGATGTTCGAGTATGGAGTGCCTTGCTTGCTGCTTGTCGGATCCATAAGAATGTTGAACTTGGAGAGGAAGCATCAAATAAGATCCAAAGCCTAGGACCTGAAAGTACTGGGAATTTTGTTCTCTTATCTAACTTATACAGTGCTTCTGGGAGATGGGATGATGCAGCGCATGTTAGAGTCGTGCAGAAAGATTGGGGCTTTAAGAAAAGCCCAGGATGTAGTTGGGTGGAGATAAATGGGGTTGTCCATGCATTTATGGGTGGAGATAGGTCGCACCCACAATCATCTCTGATAAACCTAAAATTAGAGGAACTAATGATAGAGATGAGAAAATTGGGATATCAATCAGAACCAAGTTTTGTATATCAAGATGTTGAAGAGGAGGAGAAGGAACAGATTCTTGTTTATCACAGCGAGAAGCTTGCTGTTGCATTTGCAATGCTTAGTCTGAGCCCTAACAAACCTATTCTTGTTACAAAGAATTTGAGGGTCTGTGGTGATTGCCATGCTGCCCTAAAATACATAACCATCATTTCAAAGAGAGAGATAACAGTGAGGGATGCAAGTCGATTTCATCATTTCAGGGATGGATTTTGCAACTGTGGAGATTTCTGGTGAGGAGGAGAATATATGGGTGAAATCACAGGACTTCATGGTGCTCGAGTGGAATCTGTCTATCCTGTTTCTTTGCCAGGCTGTCTGGCTGCATTACTGCAGCTGTGAATCAGGTAACTTCTTGCTCTCTATGAACATCCTTAGCATTCATGGAAAGTTTATGGTAGAAAGAGGTTGTAGAACTTCCAGCTATTAGCATTTTATCTTTGGTACCGCTCATGCCGAGTGTTACACACAACTTCCATTATTACCTACCTAAAAAGTCAACAAAAATGCAAAATGATCTTCCACAATGTGACAATATGTCTACATATGTTTGAGAGGGTTACTTAAGCAGGTTAACGTAGAGCTATGTACATGCAATCTTAATTCTTCTTCTTTAAAAGTCTAGTATGTAGTTGAAGAGCAAGTTGTATGCTTGGTGATATACTCATAAGTATGATCGTTAGTTTATGTACTTGACATATCTACAGTCATACACTTTCTTTAGACTTCTACAGGAACGGCACTGTTGTAAAATTTGACCTTTATCTCCAATTGGGCTAACTCCATCTGGCAGATAATAATTGCTGAAATCATAAGCCGAAGACAATTATGTCAATGCATGCTCAGCCTTCTTGAGATGTAGAATATATCTTGGCCGCCAAACTCCCCTTCAGAATGCTCTCACTGAGTGGATGACCTGAAGTATCGGTAGGCATGAATTCTAATTGATCTTCACCACTGACAAATGAAGGTGTGTATTTTATATTTACATTCTCTACTAAGTTTCTACATCCATTCATTTGACCTTTTTTATAATGCTTTGGTATTTTATTCTTCTCCCCTGGAAGTATTCAGTGTTGGTGTTACTCATTGTGCAATAATGAAAATACCTTGGTACCTCAACAGTATATTAGACAACAGTGCCATTTCTGCCCTCGACATTCACTGTTAAAATGGTAGTTATAGTTAGAGGTAATGTTGCTTTGATAGTTTGTTACCAAGAGATAGCCAATGTCTATTATTGGATTCAATTCTTTTCACAAAAATATACTCACAATAAGAAAATGTGAGTAGCAGATAAACAATATATCATGCAAATTGATAACACAAAGTTCAAAGTATGGGTTCATTTATTATGTAGATGAAATAACTTTAAAGGAGATGTAAAATTATTTTCTCCTTTTCATAGAAATAAACGAGATGTTCGTGACAACAGAATTGCAAAGGAATTGGAATCAGATGAGTATTAACTTGTCTGTAGTTGTCTTACTCTTACTAGTTGGTTTCGGATAAGCAATCGTGATGACTTTAGCTACAGTTTCAAAAATAGGTGAACCCATAGTTCTTTAGATTTGTGAATAAAGAAAGGATTATCGTTATATACCGAAGCAACCTTTTATAAGAGTTTCTTTAAATTGGATCTTATAAAATGATTGATGTAGAGCACACATCTCTGAAGCGAGATGAATACGACTTTCATTATCTACAACCTCATTTGTCTTGGCTTCATTCCAAGCGGTGCTTTGGCATAAACTTTCTTACAATTCAACTCAACTCAATAAAGTCTTAACCCCATAATTTTGGGTTGGTTTCTTGAATCTTATTTTGCCATTATACTCTATTAAAGGTCATATTTTCTGTTAGACCATAAGTTATCATATCTTTCTTTATTATTTAATTTGAAGTTAATTTTGGTCTTCCTATGTCCCAATGCTTACTGTTAATAGTTATCATATCACTTTTTCTCACAAATATTGTAGTAAGTTGTCCATAAATATGTCAAAGTGTAACGCCCCAAAATCCAACCAGGAAGGGCATAAACTATCTTTACAACATTTAATCATGAGGGCATCTAAAATAATCCACAAGTGATAAAAATTAATCCATTCATCAAATAAAAAAGAATCCAAATTCCAAGATCCAACATAAATAAATTATCTGAATTGAAGTATTCCAACTGACTTCTAAAAGTATTAAACCAAAAATCATAATTACATTAATTAGAATTCATAAATTTAAATTACAACCGAACATCACTAAGCATAACGTCCCGGATCCACATACTGATTCGCCTCAGTGTCCCAATCAACGTGCTTACCTAATGCGATGTTTTTCTTAAAGCTTAAGTCTGAAAAATATATTTATATCGTAGGATGAGCAAATAGCCCAATAGGAAACCTTCTAAAGCCCAAACAAGGTTTCAAAATAGTTAAACCCGTAGGTCTCATTGGATAAAATAACATAATATAATTTCGAAATAAAACCACGACAATTAATGGGATCTCAAGTGTAAGACAAAACGATAAAGTTCATAAACAAGAAAGAACAATTCTCAAAGTAGTAATTGATTTGCACAATATATCTCATGTACTCAAGTAGACTTAGCGTGGACACGCACATTGAGAATATCTTAGCCCACACTCACACATACGTAATCCTCGCAAGGATACAATACTTTAGAAAGGGCATATATCGACGCATTGACAGTGACCAAACCTCCCCAGGAATAGTACACTAATCCTCAACCTCGATTCCCATGAGCGAATAGTGCGAATTCTTGAATCTTGCAAAGAACCTAGTGATAAGGAACTTTTAAACCTCTCAAGGTAAGAAACGCATCTATACACTCAACAATACTTGGTCGAAAGTAAATCATGTTTATTACACCCACCAATGCAAGAGATAGTTTCATAACTTCCGCACAAAATTACAAGTCATGGTTCACAATTGCCAAAATAGGATAATTTCAAGAAAATATACAGAAGATCCTCAAAAACACTTTTACATTGAACATAATCAAGAATTAGGGTTTTTGAAAATCAAGAACATGGTATTTAGGAGTTAAAAACATGTAATTCTTCCAAGAAACCGATCATATTCTCACAAAGAATACTAAAACATTGTTTATCTATCATATAATCGATTGTAATTCAAGAACTAGGGTTTCATCATCAAAACGAATAAATCTTGTAACAAATCATGTATTTTGTTTAATAAATGAAACCTAGAATCAAATCAACATTAAAACAACCTAGATTTTTATATTTATTTCATAATAGAGATGAAAAGATATACATATACATCCATAACTCTCAATTAGTGAACTTGAGAAAGAACTCTATCTTAATCTCTTTGAATATTGATTTTAACGTGTTTAATTATGATTTTTCTTGCTTAAATCCTTTGGAATCTCTCTCCTCTTCATTTTCCCAATTCTCCTTAGCCTCCTAGGGTTGAAGGTTGTTGAAAAGTAACCTAAAGAACGTCTTTGGGGGTATTTATAGGGTAAAAAATTGAAAAATTCTTGAAAACTGATCATTGAAAATTGCGCATGCATGTTCGAATAGATATTGGCGTTCGAACGGACTTTGCTCCCAGTATTTTAGGTCTTGTCAGACTTCGATTCTATGTATAGTATACGTTTGAACGTGAAATCCGTTTCTACTTGAACTTCTAAGTCAGTTTTGACCAAGTCATAAGTCGATTCACGAAAGTTTCATGAAATACATTTTTGTAGCATGTAAAGTCTAGTTTCTACTGACCAAAAATCCGATCAATCAGACGTCGGGATAAAAAGGTATGGGCCTAATACTGAGGTACTGTCAAATTTCATTATACCTGAATTCTCTCCAAAATGTGTTTTAACTCCGAAATACTTTCAAACTTCTAATACACCCCATAACACATTTCTCAAGGTTTCTCGACCTTCCGGATTCATTGATGGCCTTATTTTGACCTAAAAAATATTTAGAAACTTAGTTAATCACCATTCTCAAGCTTAAATACCTCTGAAACTAAGTTTGACCCTAAAGTTCATACATGCAAACTCAAACTTCATGATCAATTTTTCCACAATAATTCAAACTTATCCTCATTTGGAAGTAGTCTTAAAACCATGTTATCCATCTTTAAATTTTGTACCGGATCTTACACAAAGTCACCTAAGTTAATTCTCTCTTAATTTATCTCCTATATGTGCTACCTCAACTTGTTCACGGATATATTCATAACTAGTTACATCCTTCCTAGTTTTTTCACACATCCATCTTAACATTCTCATTTTTGCCGTACTTAATTTTTTAACTTGTGAATTCTTAGTTGCCTAACACTCGGTACCATAAAGCATAGCGAGTCTTATGGTCATTTTATATAACTTTCCTTTTAGCTTAAGAGATATGCCTTCATCACACAATATACCGAATGCATATCTCTATTTAGTTCATTTTGCACTAATTCTATAGGTAACATCTTCACAAATCTCACACTGTCTATAAATAATAGATCCTAATATTTAAAGTGTTCTTTGTCTCTTGATCTTCAATTTTTTCCTAATCCCCCATTATGATTCCTCTTTTTATTAAAGTTACATTCAATTTATTTAGTTTTAGTCCTTCTTATCCTAAATTCTTTTGATTCTAGAGCTTCTGGCCATATTTCTAGTTTATTATTAATTTTTTTCTTTACTTGTATCAACTAATACAATATCGTCTGCAGATAACATAGACTATGGAAGTTCATTATGAATATATCTAGTCAATTCATTCATAATCAATGCAAAAGCTATTGACTCAAAGTAGAACCTTGATGTTAATCAATAGTAATTACAATTCAGTAGTCTCTCTTGCCCTTATTCTCTCTAAAGTCACTATATTTTCATGCATATTCTTAATAACATCCACATACCTAACAGTAACATTTTTCTTCTCTATAACCCTCCATAATATATCTCTAGCAACTCTATCATATGCTTTCTCTAAGTCCATAAAAACCACACGAAGGTCCTTATTTTTCTCCCTATACCTCTCTATTAGTCTCCAATTTATATAGCTTTCATTGTTGATCTCATAGGCATAAATTCATATTGATTTTCTGATATCCTTGTTTCAAATCTTAGTCTTTGTTCAAAATCACTATCTCCCAAAGTTTTATTGTATAACTCACTAGTTTAATACTTCTATAAACAGTATAGTATGAGAGAGAGATAAACATAATTGAATGGGAAAGAGAAGAACACAATTTCCATTAATGAAGAGATATATATATATATATCTTTTCGTTACACGTGTGGGAATGAAGGCATGACTTAATATTTTAAATAGTTCTAGCTTGAAAAAAATATTACCAATTTTATCTATTTTGAGTGACTTGTTGAGGATATTTGCCAACAGAGCGCACAAAATATGTAGCAACCTCTTTCGATTGGAGATTTTCATAAACAAAGTGACAATCAAATTCAATATGTTTTGTTCGTTCGTGAAAAACTAGATTTGAAGTAATATGAACAACTTGATTGTCACAAAATAATTGCATTGGAAAGGTTATTGAAATACCAATCTCATGCAATAAATTCTTTAGTCATATCAATTCACAGGTAATCTGAACCATAGCCCTATAATCTGCCTCAACACTAGATCGGACCACAACACTCTAGTTTTACTTTTTGTCATCGGATAGAAGATCCCTCCAAGGAATGTACAATACCTTGTGCTATGCTGGATCTTCTATTTGATGGAGACAATCATCCTAATCTGCATTAATAAAACCAACTACTTGTAAATGTCCATGGTCTCTATATAATAATCCTTGACTAGGGGTCTTTTTCAAATATCTCAAGACTAATCAAGTCCTCCAAGGAGATACTATTGGAGATTCCATAAAGTGACTTACAACACTAACCATAAAAAAGATATCGGGTATTGTAATAGTCAAGTAATTCACTTTTTTCAACTAGTCATCTATACCTTTATAG